ATATTGACCAGGCTGGCCTCAATCTCACAGAGATCCACTTGCCTTTGCCTCCTAAGTGCTGGGATTAAAGGTGTGTGATGTGGCTCTCGGCCCCTTTTTTTTTTTTTTTTTTTTTTTTTTGAGACAGGGTCTCCCTGTAGCTCCAGCTGGCCAGGAATTCACTATGTAGACCAGGTTGGCTTCACTCTCACAGAGATCCACCTGCCTCTGCCTCCCAAATGCTGGGACTAAAGGGGTGCACCACCAAGCCTGGCCCAGCCTTCCATTTTTAAATTAACTACTTCATTGTTCAACACTTTTTTTTTTTTTTTTTTTTTTGGTCTTTTTGAGACAGGGTCTCCCCGTAGCCCCAGCTGTCCTGGATTCACTATGGAGACCAGGCTGACCTCGAACTCACAGACATCTGCCTGCCTCTGCCTCCCGAGTGCTGGGATTGAAGGCAAGCATCACCATGCCCGGTTTGTTCAACACTTTTTATAATAAATCATTTGTTTCATAATTTTTAAACAGTAAGTATCTAGTATTCTGACTTAATTATTACCAGAATAAGGTGTTGCCAAATTAGAAACTAATTCTGTTTTGTGCACAACTACTCAAAGATGTACTCTAAAAATACATTGAAATAACTTCTAAGAATGCAATAATTCTTCTAATTCTTCGTCCTGTCCCATTGGTGTATCTTCTGTCATGATCCCTCCCATAAACTGTTTTCAAAACACCACCAGTGCTTTCCTTCTCCTTCTCAAACACATCTGTATGAGCTGTATACCAACTTTAGATGCCTCAGCCTAGAGGTCCAAGGATTCTCAAATAATGGTTCAGGTCACACCTACAGACTCCCTTCATAATAAACTCCTTGCTCATGCAATATTAATCATTATACACACAGAATTGCTCTGCACTTGGCTGAATACATGTCTGTGTTCTGGGCCCTTCCATCAGGAATGCTCTTACCCATCAAAACTCTAGGTCCAGCTGGGCCTGGTGGCCCACGCCTTTAATTGCAGTACTTGGAAGGCAGAGGCAGGCAGATCTCTGTGAGTTCAAGGCCAGCCTGGTCTATATCGTGAGTTCTAGGCCAGCTGGGGTACAGGGAAACCCTGTCTCAAAAAGACAAAAAAGGGTATTATTAAGGGAGAAAGGGGGGAAATGGGGGCACCTTAAGTGGGAAAACCATGATGGAGGGGTAAGATAATGCGAGAGATAAATAATGCCTAGTTTTAAAAACCAGGGGGAACCATATTACTCCAACAACCTACTGACAAATTATACACAGCAGATCAAGAAATATATGTCTAGGTAAGCTTTATCTGAGAACAACTGTGCTTTGCCCAAGATTTATCTATATGACACACAGTAATTAAAAGTACCAGACTGGTGGAACTAACCTTCTTGGATGTTTAACAGACATACTTTGAGGCCTATACTAATTTGGTAAGAGGGACATTAAGGACAGTTTTTGCTAGGTCAACTAGTTCCAGGGAACTATGAGCATCTC